CAGGAACCAAGTCTTTCTTGGGTATTTCAGTGTACCCAGCGCAGTCCCTAGCACATAGAGATAACTAGTTAATACTTTTGACTGAATGAATTCACCCTTTTGTGGCATTCTTTTACTAAAGTTCGTGGTATTAAGTCCGGTCAAGGCCAGAGAAGCTGTGCTTCTCTCTCTTGAACCCCTATCATACACCCAGCAAAGCCCCATCTCTCATCCTCCAGTGATCCGTGTATTAGTACCACATTTCATATATAAAGAAACCAAGGTACAGAGCAGTTCATTTGCCTGCATTTGAAAGGCTGATAAGTGTCAGAGTTGGGCATCTTAGCTAAGGTAGCAGTTAAGCAGGTAAATCATAGGGCCCCGGAGTGTCCAGCACTGGCTTCAGATGGCCTGTGTTCAGTCCCAGTGTGAACTTGGCCAGTTTCGAAACCCATCTGTGCCCCATTTGTATACTGACAGTAGTAAGAGGACCTCAGGGTAGCTGTGAGTACATAGTAAGACTGTACATTCTAACCGAGTGTCTTATCTCATCCCTAGGAGTCGAGAATACATGTCCTTTTTTCCCCCTTTTTGAGATGTTCTAGGCTGTTACCGTTCACAGGCGTGCCTTGGAGATATTGTGAATTTGGTTCCAGACCACCGCAATAAAGCAAATCTTGCAATAAAGCAAGTCACACAAATTTTTTGGCTTCGCAGTGCATGTAAAAGTTATGTTTACACTATACTGTAGTCCGTTAAGTGTGCACTAGCATTATGTCGAAAATAACAATGTATATACCTTAATTTAAAAAATACGTTGTGGCTAATAATTGCTAACCATTATCTGAGGCGTCACTGAATTTTAGTAACAGCAAAGATCACTGATGGCAGATCACCATGAAAGTTTGAAACATTGTGAGAATTAGTGACACGGAGACATGAAGTGAGCAAATACTGTTGGAAAAATGGTACCGATAGACTTGCTTGATGCAGGGTTGCCACCAGCCTTCAATTTGTAAAAAACACGGTATCTGTGAAATGTGATGAAGTGAGGTCTGCCTGTGTAGTAGCACTGTCACCTTGAGGTCCTACAAGGATGTGTGTTTTGATGTATGTGTGACAGTTGTTCCTTGCCCCTCTTTTGTAACTGAGAAAAAGAACAGCTAAATAGTGAAGCTGAGGAGAGCTGTAAAATCAGAACTTGTCGCCTGGGCCCCTTATTCTGTATCTGCTATTCTAATCCTCAGGCCTTGTCTTTGCCTTAAAGGTTCCCATGGCCTGTTTTGGAGTTAAAGCTTTTAGAATTTTCTTTTAAAGAGGAAGTGAGTATAATTCTATTTTAAGGTAAGGGCATCTCTTTGCAAATGGAAAATCCAATCAATAAGTGTTTAGCAACTGCTGTGGACAAGACTCTTGGCATTCTTATAAACACACGAAAGTAACTGGATATCTGGATGATTGTGTGGAAATCAGATCTGGGTTCAAGTTCAGGTTTATTATTTACTAGCCATGTGACCATGGGCAAATTTTAACCTCTCTAAGACTCCATTTTCTTTTCAGGAAACTATACATAAGAATTCCCATCCTAGGGACTTCCCTGGTGGCACAGTGGTTAAGACTCCGCACTCCCAATGCAGTGTTCGATCCCTGGTCAGGGAACTAGATCCCACATGCGTGCCACAACTAAGAGTGAGCATGCCACAACTAAGGAGCCTGCCTGCCGCAACTAAGGAGCCCACTTGCCACAACTAAGACCCGGCACAACCAAATAAATAAATAAATAAAATATTAAGAAAAAAAAAGAATTCCTGTCCTACAGATGGAGAGGAGCAAACAAGAGAATGTCTGTTAAGAAGCCATTAAACTCCTTACCTTGTAGATGTGCCTATGCTGAGGGTCTAGGGGAAGAGGGTACTAAGTAGGCCCACCCAAGACAAAACTGTGGGACACCTGGAGGGGCCACCATGATGGGTGCCAGGGGACAAAGAGAGAAGGGCCCATTGGAACTGAAGGTTTGTGCTCTGGGCTGAGTCTCCAAGAGTTGAGCTGAGGGTCATCCCAGATGTTCAGGGTCAGGTAGGAGGAGACAGACAGAATGGAGGCCCCCAAGCTCCATCCAGAGGCAACTTGTTCTATCAAAGCCCGGCAGGGCTTTATTTGCTGACTTCTTTGCCACTATCTCCTGCTACCCAAGTCTCGCCCTCTATCTGATACATACACAGTGTTCACACCGCAGCACCTAACCTAGGGCATGGCCCAGCTCACGGTGAAAATTTTTGTTTGCTGAAGGTGTGAATGGTGCTCAGACCATGTTTGTTGACTGAATAAGCATGACCCTGGCTGATGACATGTCCAATCTAGTTTACAAGCAACTTCGAATAAGACCCTGAGAGAAAGAGACCCTGACAGGCACAAGGACAGGCTGTAAAGAACAATGCTTTTGGTTTGGGAGCCTGGTGAATTGAGATGCTTGTGGGAGACAGCCAGCCCCACCTTCCTAAGCACAGCATGGGGAGACTCCATTAGCAGGTGTGTCTACTGAGAACCACATGCATTACCGTTTTCTTCAAATCACGTTTGACTTTTAGTTGATAGTGGGGCACAAAAACATTTAAGATCATACCTTTTAAAAGTTGCATCTTTTAATGTCTTAATAAGATTGAAAGACCTTTATAGTGCCTGCACAAAATCTCTTCTGGGATAATGTTCATATTCCAAGTGATGCTCTATCTAGTTCCTAGGTTGATCCAATCAGTAAAGCTTAGGAAGCAGAAAGATGGGGCAGAATACTCCCAAGACACTTACCACAGTACCTTCTTAGGTCCCTAGGTTTGGCCTGTACTTTGACATGATTTTTTTTCAAGTGGGCGTAGGTGTGCAAATCTGGAACCCAGAGCTCATTCATTCACTGAACAAACTTATTTGTGCCTGCTCTCTGCCAGGTGTCAGGGGAGGGTGCAAAGAGGAAAAGCGTGGACCCTGCCGTCAAGGAGTTCATGACATGATGTTTTTACTTACGGGGCCCCTAAAAGGAAGGCGGGTGCTTTGTCCATCCTTGCTAGACCTCACGTCTTTTAAGCAACAGGTAATGTGATTTTTCTCTGACAGCTCTAGGTTGGTTAAATGAAGCCCTGTAGCTGTGGCTTTATTTACAGGCCTGTGGGAGCCACACAGGCCAGCGTTGCCACACTGACCTTCTCTGCCTCTACTGGGTGCTTGGTTGACCAACGGCTATCACCCGGCAAGGTTTCCCAAAGCAGACCATTGTTGTTGGCTTTGTGAAGCCCTCAGAGGGCGGCCTGTGCTCAGAAATAGAGTTCTCAGCAAAAGCCACAGAATTGTTGGTGGCCTTGCCACTTGGCCAGCTGTTTTTCGTTTCTCAGCAACATTTGGCTCTCTCTTGCTGTGTGATGTCAGCATTAGCTATCATAGAATGTTCTCTGTTCAAACAACGTATTGGCTGATTAAAATCAGTTGCCTTGTCAGTGACTATAAAGCAGTGATTGATATGATTGCCCTGGGATTTTAAGAATTTTTTTCTTTTAAGAAAATATTAAAACATTTTTGAAAGCAGAGAGCATAGTATAATGGGCACCCATATGCGCATCACGTAGATTTAACAGTGAACACTGTGCCACATTGCTTCATCTGTTTTTATTGCTGCTGAAGTACTTTAAAGTAAATTACAGACATCGAGACATTTCACGCCTAAATACTTCAGTGTTGATCTCTAAAGAATCACGTTCCCCAACAACCAAAACATCATCAGCACTTCTAACAAAATTAATAATAACTCCTGGACTTCCCTGGTGGCGCAGGGGTTAAGAATCCACCTGCCAATGTGGGGGACACGGGTTGGAGTCCTGGTCCGGGAAGCTCCCACATGCCACGGAGCAATGAAGCCCGTGCGCCACAGCTACTGAGCCTGCGCTCTAGAGCCCACGAGCCACAACTACCGAGCCTGAGCGCTGTAACTACTGAAGCCTGCGTACTCTAGGGCCCGCAAGCCACAACTACTGAGCCTATGCGCCACAACTACTGAAGCCCATGCGCCTAGAGCCCGTGCTCCACAGCAAGAGAAGCCATTGCAATGAGAAGCCGGTGCACTGCAACGAAGAGTAGACCCCGCTCGCCGCAGCTAGAGAAAGCCCGTGCGCAGCAACGAAAACCCAAAGCAGCCATAAATAAATAAATAAATAGATAAATAGATAAATAGATAAATAAATAAAGTAACTCCTTGGTGTCATCTTATCCAGTCCATGCTCACATTTCCCTCCTTGTTGCCCAGAAGTCTTCTACTTGGTCTGTTCAAAAGAGGACTCAGTCCTAGGCTACACGTTGCATTTTGCTGTTTTATATCTTAGGCTTTTAAAATCTAGGACTGGGCTTCCCTGGTGGCGCAGTGGTTGAGAGTCCACCTGCCGATGCAGGGGACACGGGTTCGTGCCCTGGTCCGGGAGGATCCCACGTGCTGCGGAGTGGCTGGGCCCGTGAGCCATGGCCGCTGAGCCTGCGCGTCCGGAGCCTGTGCTCCACAACGGGAGAGGCCACAACAGTGAGAGGCCCGCGTACCGCAAAAAAAAAAAAAAAAAAATCTAGGACTGTTCCTTCTCAACTTTTTGGGTGTTTTTGTTTTTCATGACATTGACTTGTAAGAGTTCTTGGATTTTTCAATAGGGATTATGAAGTTTTTCGTGGATTCCTTTTGCACTATAGCTAAGTTTCTTTTGTTGCATTTGTATTGGGTGCTGTTAGCCAGAGGTATGTGTTTTTAATATTTCGCCATCAAATCTAGCTTCAGTATCTTAGAAATTCGTTCAGATCTGACCTTGGCCAATAGTGGGTTTTTTTGGAAAAAGCATTCATTATATTCATTTCTTTTTAATCTCAAATAAAATCCTTCTTCTGGATTTATACAGGATTTATTGGCTTAAAAGGAATGCAAAATAATAAAGGTAGGTTCTGAATATCAGCCATGTGTAAGGTTAAGGAAATCCCTAATAATTCTTCTTCACGTTCAGTTTGCAGAGAAATTCCAGGAGGTGAAAGAAGCTGCCAGACTAGCCAGAGACAAATCTCAGGAGAAAATCGAGACCTCGAGCAATCATTCCCAAGTAAGTAATTTGTCCGTAAAATGAATGACTATAATCAGCGATTGAGACTCTGTTCCTTGTCACTTTTGACAAGAAATAGGAAATTTTCGCAGTAGGGCATTTTGAGAACTTTTTCAACTATTAGCCTGCTCACAGTGAGATGAATGTGACATGTAAGAGACTCTTGAATTTTTCAGGATGTGGTGATATATTTTGGATGGAAAACGTTTGATGAGATTAGAGTTAATGCATGTCCCTGGTCTGGGATGTCCTCTGGTCACGGTTTAAAAACCAATGCCAATGGGCTTCCCTGGTAGCGCAGTGGTTGAGAGTCCGCCTGCCGATGCGGGAGATGCGGGTTCATGTCCCGGTCCGGGAAGATCCCACATGCCACGGAGCGGCTAGGCCCGTGAGCCATGGCCTCTGAGCCTGCGCGTCCGGAGCCTGTGCTCTGCAGCGGGAGAGGCCACAACAGTGAGAGGCCCGTGTACCGCAAAAAAAAAAAACAAAAAAACAATGCCAAGGTGAAGTGTTTTCTTTCTGTGTTGGGAGGTGAGGTCTGCGTGAAGGATGCTCATGGACAAATGCAGGTACCTGTGCCCATGACAGAGAAAACTTGATCGATGCCAGAGAGTCCTCGTCTGTCTCCCTATTATAACAAAGTCAGGTGGGAGGTGGTATTCCAACCAACAGTGAGAGGCCCGCGTACCGCAAAAAAAAAAAAAAAAAAATCTAGGACTGTTCCTTCTCAACTTTTTGGGTGTTTTTGTTTTTCATGACATTGACTTGTAAGAGTTCTTGGATTTTTCAATAGGGATTATGAAGTTTTTCGTGGATTCCTTTTGCACTATAGCTAAGTTTCTTTTGTTGCATTTGTATTGGGTGCTGTTAGCCAGAGGTATGTGTTTTTAATATTTCGCCATCAAATCTAGCTTCAGTATCTTAGAAATTCGTTCAGATCTGACCTTGGCCAATAGTGGGTTTTTTTGGAAAAAGCATTCATTATATTCATTTCTTTTTAATCTCAAATAAAATCCTTCTTCTGGATTTATACAGGATTTATTGGCTTAAAAGGAATGCAAAATAATAAAGGTAGGTTCTGAATATCAGCCATGTGTAAGGTTAAGGAAATCCCTAATAATTCTTCTTCACGTTCAGTTTGCAGAGAAATTCCAGGAGGTGAAAGAAGCTGCCAGACTAGCCAGAGACAAATCTCAGGAGAAAATCGAGACCTCGAGCAATCATTCCCAAGTAAGTAATTTGTCCGTAAAATGAATGACTATAATCAGCGATTGAGACTCTGTTCCTTGTCACTTTTGACAAGAAATAGGAAATTTTCGCAGTAGGGCATTTTGAGAACTTTTTCAACTATTAGCCTGCTCACAGTGAGATGAATGTGACATGTAAGAGACTCTTGAATTTTTCAGGATGTGGTGATATATTTTGGATGGAAAACGTTTGATGAGATTAGAGTTAATGCATGTCCCTGGTCTGGGATGTCCTCTGGTCACGGTTTAAAAACCAATGCCAATGGGCTTCCCTGGTAGCGCAGTGGTTGAGAGTCCGCCTGCCGATGCGGGAGATGCGGGTTCATGTCCCGGTCCGGGAAGATCCCACATGCCACGGAGCGGCTAGGCCCGTGAGCCATGGCCTCTGAGCCTGCGCGTCCGGAGCCTGTGCTCTGCAGCGGGAGAGGCCACAACAGTGAGAGGCCCGTGTACCGCAAAAAAAAAAAACAAAAAAACAATGCCAAGGTGAAGTGTTTTCTTTCTGTGTTGGGAGGTGAGGTCTGCGTGAAGGATGCTCATGGACAAATGCAGGTACCTGTGCCCATGACAGAGAAAACTTGATCGATGCCAGAGAGTCCTCGTCTGTCTCCCTATTATAACAAAGTCAGGTGGGAGGTGGTATTCCAACAGCTCTGGTTTAGCCAACGTAAATGTGGCTTTGCCAGGAACTGAGTTATCTGTCTACTTAAAAGTGTGATAATTGACTAAAAGGGACCTATTTTAACCTGAAATAAAAATACCTGCCTTCCTGACGTCTAGATTGGGGTGTGTAGTGGGAGGTGGTATTCCAAGAGCTCTGGTTTAGCCAACGTAAATGTGGCTTTGCCAGGAACTGAGTTATCTGTCTACTTAAAAGTGTGATAATTGACTAAAAGGGACCTATTTTAACCTGAAATAAAAATACCTGCCTTCCTGATGTCTAGATTGGGGTGTGTAGTGGTAGGTGGAAACCTTGACCTAGTGACATAGTTATGTGTAGAGAGACAGGGAAAGGGAGACCTGACGAGACGTAGGAGCTGGGGTCTGGGATTAGGGATAAGCATGATGTAAATGCAAGGCAGCCAGGGGTCTCCCTGCCTAGGGGTGAGGTGCACAGTGGGAGGAACAGAGATGCACTTGGAGGTACTGTGGAGGACCTGAAATTCTTCATGAGTGGATCATTCTTACTTAATTATTTATTGTTGGATAATGGGAAGACACTGGAGATGTTTTATGGCTACTGATCAGGAATTGCCATGAAGGTTGCATGCGGGTGGTGAGGAAGTCAGGGAGGAGCTGAGGGCAGGAAGATCGGAGAGGAGGCTGTGGGGTGGAGAATGGCCAGGCCAGACCAGCTATGGATGGATGTCGGGACAGCTTGTGGAAAGAGAACAGGAGGCGTGGGCATTCCTGAGCAGTCAAGATCAACACCCTAGACTTGGCCGTCAGCAATAGCTGAAGCTGAATCCTATAAAAGATGCCCCTACGGATTTATGGAAATGAATGTGTATTAGACTTCAAGTGGGCAGGAACTTTCCTGAATCTTTGTAAATAATCTTTAATGACATCTAAATGATACTATTAATTTAGTATACTAATTATTGTACTGAGTAATCGCTGAGGATCTGTAAAATTGGGCACTTGAAATGGTCCATAGTCTAAGGACTTTCTCTGTGTTTTTTTTTTTGGAATGCTAAGATTATTATACAATAAGAGTTACCAAAGATATTTTGTTAATGTTTTGGTGTGTTTTTTCCTAATATAGCTTTCCAGTATATTTTTGTGTTATTCTTTTTAATCTTTTTTTAAAAAACTTATTTGTTATGATCCTTTCCTTGTGTTTTCAAATATCCCTTTTCAAAACTATTTTAATGGCTAGCTAGTATTCCAGTGTTTGTATCACAACTTATTCCATTAACCTCCTATAATTTGGGACATCGGTGTTGTTTCTAATTTTTCATTAATATAAATAACACCATGCTAAGCATTCTTGCACACCTTTTGTGCATTTGATGGTTTCTGCAGGATAAATTCTTGAAGTGGAAGTATTGGGTTAAGGGTAGGACTTTTTTTTTTTTTCTGGTCAACAATTTTTTTTTTTGGATTTTATTTTATTTATTTTTTATACAGCAGGTTCTTATTAGTTATCCATTCTATACATATTAGTGTATACATGTCAATCCCAATCTCCCAATTCATCCCACCACCACCACCCCCGCCACTTTCCCCCATTGGTGTCCATTTGTTCTCCACATCTGTGTCTCTATTTCTGCCCTGAAAACTGGTTCATCTGTACCGTTGTTCTAGGTTCCATATATATGCGTTAATATACAATATTTGTTTTTCTCTTTCTGACTTACTTCACTATGTATGACAGTCTCTAGATCCATCCACGTCTCTACAAATGACCCAATTTCGTTCCTTTTTATGGCTGAGTAATATTCCACTGTATACATGTACCACATCTTCTTTATCCATTCATCTGCTGATGGGCATTTAGGTTGCTTCCATGACCTGGCTACTGTAAATAGTGCTGCAGTAAACACTGGGGTGCATGTGTCTTTTTGAATTATGGTTTTCTCCAGGTATATGCCCAGTAGTGGGATTGCTGGGTCATATGGTAGTTCTATTTTTAGTTTTTTAGGGAACCTCCATACTGTTCTCCCTAGTGGCTGTATCACTTTACATTCCCACCAACAGTGCAAGAGGGTTCCCTTCCCTCCACACCCTCTCCAACATTTGTTGTTTGTAGATTTTCTGATGATGCCCATTCTAACTGGTGTGAGGTGATACCTCATTGTAGTTTTGATTTGCATTTCTCTAATAATTAGTGATGTTGAGCAGCTTTTCATGTGCTTCTTGGCCATCTGTATGTCTTCTTTGGAGAAATGTCTATTTAGGTCTTCTGCCCATGTTTTGATTGGGTTGTTTGTTTTTTTAATATTGAGCTGCCTGAGCTGTTTATATATTTTGGAGATTAATCCTTTGTCCGTTGATTCGTTTTCAAATATTTTCTCCCATTCTCAGGGTTGTCTTTTTGTCTTGTTTTGTAGTTTCCTTTGCTTTGCAAAAGCTTTTAAGTTTCATTAGGTCCCATTTGTTTATTTTTGTTTTTATTTCCATTACTGTAGGAGGTGGATCAAAAAAGATCTTGCTGTGATTTATGTCACAGAGTGTTCTTCCTATGTTTTCCTCTAAGAGTATTATAGTGTCTGGTCTTACAGTTAGGTCTTTAATCCATTTGGAGTTTATTTTTGTGTATGGTGTTAGGGAGTGTTCTAATTTCATTTTTTACATGTGGCTGTCCAGTTTTCCCAGCAAGGGGTAGGACGTTGTTTTTTTTTTGTTTTTTTTTTTTTGCGGTACACGGGCCTCTCACTGTTGTGGCCTCTCCCGTTGCGGAGCACAGGCTCCAGACGCACAAGTTCAGTGGCCATGGCTCACGGGCCTAGCCGCTCCACGGCATGTGGGATCTTCCTGGACCGGGGCACGAACCCGTGTCCCCTGCTTCGGCAGGCGGACTGTCAACCACTATGCCACCAGGGAAGCCCGGTAGGACGTTTTGAGAGCTTTTGACACACACTGCAAACATCCCTACAGAAATGTACAATTGTGACTCCCACCAGCAGTGAATGAGAGCATTTTTCCCTCCCGTTCCCTCCCCAACAAAGCTTTGTTGATTTGACAGAAGAAAAATGTACTTTCTTGGCTTTTTAAATTTTGTATTTCTTTACTAGTGAGTTTAAATTTTTTTGTTTATTAATTCTATGTATTTCTTCTTCTGTAAATGTCAATTGCATATCCTTTCCATTTTTTTGTGTTCATTTCCAAGAACTTTATTTTTTAACATGGTTAGTTTTGAATATATGCAAAACTAGGCAGGACTGGGTAAATGAACCCCCATGGACCCATAGGTCAGCTTTAACAATTAGAACTCTATGACCAATGGTTTCATCTACACCCCCCTCTCCCTCCGTCTTTGTTTTAAAGCCAGTGCCAGACATCATTTCATCCATAAATATTTCAGAGCGTCACTCTCAAAGTTGAGGACTCTAGGGGTTTTTTAGTATAGGAATAGTATTAGCATTTTTGTTTTTAGTATGCATTGAAAATATTTCCCCCACATTGTTGCTTACATTCTGATATAGTTTATGGCACTTTTTTGTGATGTAGAAATTTAGACATACGTCATTCCCTTCTTGTCTTTCCTTTGCCTTTATTCTTCTTGGACGAAATAAAATCTTTCTAAGATCTTATCCAAGACCAGATGAGGTTTCACCTCCATGTAGTATGGTTTATTACAGCAAACATTTCAGAATATTCATAACATTGCTAAATAGTCGCGGACACCCATATCTGATTCCTGTTTTGTTTTTTTTTTTCAAATGAGTGTGTCCATCTCTCTTAGCCCCGGGATTTTTAAGGCATCTCAGCTTCTTATACTTTTTCTCTTAACTCGTTCACTGTTTCTTATTATAAAACCCTCCTCCCCCCTTTCTTTTTCTTTTTTTTTCTTTTGGCCATGCCCTGCAGCATGTGGGGTCTTTGTTCCCCAACAAGGGATTGAACCTGCGCCCCCTGCATTGGAAGCACGGCGTCTTAACCACTGGACCGCCAGGGAAGTCCCTAAAACTCTCCCCCTCTTTTAATCTGTGGCTTCTGTCCTGTGTTATTTAAGGAGATCAGGTATCCGGGCTTGTTAGGTTTACCTGTAAAGTTTGAGTGAAAAGGTTCTGCATAATGGCCCGGTATGCTGTCTTGTGGGTAAAATGCACAGACTGTCTGGACTCCAAGTGGAGTCTCCACGGATAGTCTTGTTATTAGTCTGTGGACTTGTCAGCCTTTGCTGCATTCTGGTTGGATGCGTTGGTTCTCCCACACTCATAACCACACAGTTCCTCATCATGCCTGATTTGCTTCTGCTATGAGGACAAGCGATAAGGTGTGCAAGTGATTCAGTCTGGCCAGGAACCTGGGTGTGAAACCCATCTTCCACTCAGGCATCCAGCATCAACGGAACGGACGATGAAAAGGCATCTTCTGCGGGTCCTGCCAACACACACCTCAAGTCTGAGAACAACAAGCTGAAGATCGCTCTGACACAGAGGTGAGCATGTTCAAATCCAGGTGCTGTTGTCTCCCAGGTCAGCACTTCCCTGCAGCCTTTCCCATTGGGCAGGGTTTCAGGAATTTGGGAAAGGAGACTGGGTCCTGCTCAGAGCGTCCAGTCTTGACTCCTGGCCAAAGGAAGACCAGCTGCCTTCATGGTTGTTCTCTGTGCACATCAGCATCTATGTGTGTGTGTGAGAAAGAGAGAGGTGTCCCTGTGCTTTTTTTTTTTTTTTTTTTTTTTTTTTTTTTTTTTTTTTTTTTTTTTTTTTTTTTTTTTTTTTTTTTTTTGCCATGCCGCGAGACTTGTGAGATCTTAATTCCCCAGCCAAGGATGGAACCCGGGTTCCCTGCAATGGAAGCATGGAGTCCTAACCACTGGATCACCAGGGAAGTCCCTGTCCCAGTGCTTACGTTTCATTTTTTTTGGGGGGGTGGCCCGTGCCATGCAGCATGAGGGATCTTAGTTCCCCAACCAGGGGTCAAACCCGTGCCCCCTACATTGGGAGTATGGAGTCTTAACCACTGGACAACCAGGGAAGTCCCTGTTTTGGTTTTTGAGAAGCCAAATTTATCATTTATTCATATATGATAACACTGAAAAACATATTAAAACCTAAGAAACGATCTTGAAAATAAAATCTCACAAAAATCAGTAGCTTTTCTATATACAAACAAACATCACATAGACTATATATTTGAAGAAGAGATTTCCTTTACAATATGAACTAGAACCATAAAATACATGGGAATAAACTTAAGAAATGTACAGGATCTTTGTGAAGAAAACTCAAATGATTTTGAGGGCCATACATGAATAATTCAACAAATAGAAAAAGTCTATTGGGAAGTGGTAGGAAGCCTCAATATTTTAAAAAGTATCAATTTCCCTTAAATCTACAAATTTAACACAACCCCCATGACGATATCAACAAGATTTTAACTTTTAATGACTGTACTAGCTGTGCTTATGTTTTCCTTGTTTTTTGTTTGTTTGTTTTTTGCGGTACGCGGGCCTCTCACTGTTGTGGCCTCTCCCTTTCGGGAGCACAGGCTCCGGACGCGCAGGTTCAGCAGCCATGGCTCACGGGCCCAGCCGCTCCACGGCATGTGGGATCTTCCCAGACCGGGGCACGAACCCGTGTCCCCTGCAGCTGCAGGCAGACTCTCAACCACTGTGCCACCAGGGAAGCCCTGTGCTTGTGTTTTCATATCTTGAGAATGTGGCCTGTTTCCCAAAGGCTAGGCTGGGTCTCACGGTGTAAGGCTGGCCCCATGAGCACCTTCAGAACTGCTGTCTTTGGGGGTCATTCTGCTCACCTGGCAGGGGACTCGGCCAGCTTCCCCCAGCCTCTCTGTGGCTGAGAAGCTGCTTTCCTCAGACCTGCCCCGTTTAAGAACTCTATCATATTAATTCCCCCATTTTACAGGTAAGGAAACTGAGTCCCAGGTGGTACAGTGAGTCCTTGCCCAAGGTCACATGGCTGGTAAATCTTCCCAGAGGCACCCACCTCTGCAAGCCAGCCAGCCAGCCTGACCAGTGCGTGGAGCTTAATTCCTGTGATCTGACAGGAATTAAAGAATTCCAGAAAGAACATAAGACCCTTAGATTCAGCCACCTTCTTTGGACCCTGGGTTTTGTCAGATACTTCAAAGGACAAAACTGTGACCAGCCTCTTTTACTCATCAGGTGATCTTGAAGACTATTTTTGGTTGAGTCACAGTGGGCTGCCTGGATGAAAACATTCCACCCCTAAAAATAAATGTTTTTAAATCCCAGTTGAATGGACGAGTGAATTACAGGAATGGGTGTGAAGCCATTTCCGGAAATCAGCTCAATCATTAACTCTGAAATTAATCACATAACAATATTTTGCTATGTTTTCAGTCTGTGGTGTTTGAAACCAAAAGTATATATTTTCCAATCACAGTTCTAGGACCTTGAGGTGGATGAAAGATAATGCAGATTATTAAAATACAGTTGTATTTACTTTTTAAAAAAAAAAAAAAAAAAAGCCTTTAGAGACACAGCTCTCCTCAGCCAGGCAGTATTGATTAGAAGCCAAAAACTTTCTTTTTTTTTTTTTCAAAGTGGCTAAGTCTGAGGTGGTTTTTTTTTTTGTTAATTAATTTTTATTGGAATGTAGTTGCTTTACAATGTTGTGTTAGTTTCTGCTGTATGGCACAGTGAATCAACTATACATATCTCTCTTCTTTTTTGGATTTCCTTCCCATTTAGGTCACCATACAGCACTGAGTAGTGTTCCCTGTGCGATACAGCAGGTTTTCATTAATTATCTATTTTATACATAGTAGTGTATATGTGTCAGTCCCAACCTCCCAGTCCATCCCACCCCACCACCCTCACCCCCTTGATAACCATATGTTTGTTCTCTACGCCTGTGTCTCTATTTCTGCTTTGCAAATGAGTTCATCTCTACCATTTTTCTAGATTCCACATATAAGCGATATTATGTGATATTTGTTTTTCTCGTTCTGACTTATTTCACTCTGTATGACAGTCTCAAGGTCCATCCTCGTCTCTACAAGCGATCCAGTTTTGTTCCTTTTAATGGCTAATATTCCATTGTCTGTATGTACCACGTCTTTATCCGTTCCTCTGTTGATGGACATGTAGGTCGCTTCCATGTCCTGGCTACTGTAAACAGTGCTGCAGTGAACATTGGTCTCCAAAACAGGAAACAAAAGAAGCGTTGAATGGGACCGGCAACTGAGGGCAACCTGATTCCAGTTTGTTTTTTCAAACTTCACTGATCACAGAGGATTATCATGTGGTTTGGTGATAACGTGGAGGCGTCCCTCAGACCTGAGGTGACCTAGGGTCGGCCAGGGCTCCCTCTCACATCCTGCGGTTGGAACCCCAGTTCTGCCCTCAGGGGACTCCCAGCCCCTGTCTCCTCTGTCCTCAAGTCCTCAGCTCTCAAATCTGGACCCAGGCTGTTTGTTTAAACCTGGGGTTGTTGGGCTCCAGAGAGGGGGTGTCAGGAGCTTGTTGAAAGTGTCCGCAGCTTTCATGAGAGTGTCAGAGGGCCCGGGGTCCACCCCAGCACTTCAGAACCTACATCCCTGAGGCTCATTTCAGGAACGAAGGGACATGGGGCAGGAGAGAACAGTCCTGCGGCCAGGGGTCAGTAGGGAGCAGACGGGGGAGGGGTCTCTACCACAGTCTGTGGCTTCATTCTTAGTTTCTTTTTTTTTTTAATTGAAGTAGAGTTGATTCACAATGTTGCGTTAGTTTCTGCTGTACAGCAAAGTGACTCAGTTATACACACACATATATATATATATATATATAATTCTTTTTTATATTCTTTTCCATTATGGTTTATCCCAGGACGTTGAATATAGTTCCATGTGCTATACAGTAGGACCTTGTTGTTTATCCATGCTGTATATAATAGGTTGCATCTACTAACCCCAAACTCCCAATCCATCTCTCCCTCAGCCCCTTCCCCCTTGGCAGCCACAAGCCTGTTCTCTTATGTTTGTGAGCCTGTTTCTGCTTCATAGATAAGTTCATTTGTGTCATATTTTAGACTCCACATAAGAGTGACATCATATGGCATTTGTCTCTGTCTGACTTACTTCACTTAGTAGGATAATCTCTCGTTGCATCCATGTTGCTGCAAATGGCATGATTTCATTCTTTTTTATGGCTGAGTTCATTCTAAGTTACATCTCTTCCTTCTCTGAGAATTCTGTTCTCTTCTAAAGTGATGCCTTGAGAAAATCACCCAACAAGGCAGCGTGTTCCCACTAAAGGGAGGTGTCAGGCCCACTCAGCACGTGGTTCTCGCTGCCAGGCCACCGGTGGGAGAGGGTGTGGCCCCGAGGCATGGGCTGAGGGGGTGGCCGGGTGCCCCCTCCACAGGGCAGCCGGGTGGACGGTGCCCACCCTCCCGGTCACCGCCTGGCCCCCGCCCTGCAGCGCCGCCAACGTGAAGAAATGGGAGATCGAGCTGCAGACCCTGCGGGAGAGCAACGCCCGGCTGACCACGGCACTACAGGACTCGGCGGCCAGCGTGGAGCAGTGGAAGAGGCAGTTCTCCCTCTGCCACGACGAGAATGAACGGCTCCGGAACAAGGTGGGGAGGGCCGGGGTGGCCGTGACCTTCCTCTCCCCACTGCCTCCCACTTGGCCTTCGGTCCCATGTCCCAGGGGCAGGAGGAAGACCCGCTGCTTCTCCCTTTGTCCTCCCCTCCGCCTCCCTGCCTGCCTTAGTGGGAACGCTACTACGTACAGAACTGACTGATTACCTTTCCTGAACCAAGTTTTAAAATTGCAATCGCAAAGGAGAAGAGAAATCAATGGGAGATTGCAGCTTTGTCTCTCGCAAAGATCACCCTCTGATGCGAGCTGTGGGTTGGCCTTTCGTGGGTGGCCTCCCTCTGGCATTTTCTGTGGTTCCGTGATCTTCGGTAGAGAAAAGGGATCCAGAGGGTGAGTGAAGAAAATAGATTCAGGAGATGGTGAGGCGTGATTGCTCAGAAACCCTGCTTCCCTGCAAACTGCTCTTTCTAAAAATGTGAGATAGGCAGCAAGGAAAGGAACACGGCCCTTGACGTGTGAGGTGGGCGGATGCGGACGGGCCTCGTGTGCCCTCTACCCTCCTACCCTGACATGGGGGCTTTTCAATTTTTTTCAGAATTCACCCACGCCCTTCCCTGTCATTAGTCTCTCATGCTCTGGAGTTGGGCTGAGTTGATGCGGTTGTTTTAGGGTTCCCAGGTGAGGTCCTGGGGTTGCTGTGCTGTTTTGCTGGTCAGCACTTTTATCCCACAGTCGGTGAACACAGTCTGCTCCGTAAATGCAGGATTTCAGGGTACGGGTCGCATTGAGATTGGTACTCGCTCCCCTTGCCCCCGTTTATAACCCGCCCACCCGTTCTGAGTGGAGCCCCTGGGAACCACTCCCCTACTTCACGTCTTACTTTGGAGCAGGTGGCATGTGAAACTGCCTCGTGTCGTTTTTTCATAAAGTGCTGATGGTGAGGGGCGCAGGCCAAGTGCTGACTCTGCACCTTCCCTTCTGAGGCTGGGCTGATCTGCTTGGCAGAGGGATTGATCGCCCTTTGTTTCTTTTTCCAAGGGCAGAGCTGAGTTTCTCACTTTGCGTCTGAGTGTAAGAACCAAAGAGCCATGTGGGGGGTGGGGGGGGGCGTGGAGGAAGTGCGTGCAGTGGAACCTACTCCCCGTGCGGAGCGTCAGCTTCCCTGGGCGGGAAGCACTGGGAACTTGATTCCCAGGGCGGGATGTGGACGTTGGTGGGATCTCCGGCAGCTCCTGTGGCTGGAGGTTCAGATCCTGAGGGCTGGTGCAGGTCACCTCTAAGAATTGTCCTCATGTTGACCCCCTAGTGCCCTGCACCCTGAGGACTGCCGCTGCCTGCTTGTGGGGAACCCCATCAACATGGTGCTCTTGTGTTACTTGCTGGTTACACCCCTGCCGTCCACTCTGCACCCATGCTTTGGCCCCTGGGAAATGCCCAGTGTCAGAGGTGTCAGGCTTGGGAAGGAGAGAAAGATGCACTCTGGGGATGTACCTCAGCCTGCACTTGTCATCTCTCCAGGAAGAGGCCCACGGGCCAGGTCCCTTCTGCGTGCATCAGTGGGGAAAGGTCATCTTGATTTAAAACGTTTGAAATGTCATTGAGTCCCAGTTGGTAGCCACTGTCCCACAGAGTTGCTCGGTTCTCTACCCTGCTTGCTTAACCCCTTGAAAAGTAACAGAATCATTCAGGGCATGATTAAAATGATGTGACAGTCATTCTGCAAAGAAGCAGATAGATTCATGGGACGTCTGGCCCCGACTTGTGACAGATCCTTAAAGCAAACCTAAAGCTACCGTCCTGTGACTGTGAGAGAAAACCAGAGGCCCAGAGCATACTGAAGCCAGGTTTTGTGACTTCTGTGGCTTTGTTGGTGTTAAATGAGGGCATCCTGTGCCCGCAGGAGCAAATAGCCCAGGGAGAGCCCCGTGGAGTTTGTCTGTAGCCACAAGGAAAAATTTATAAGTGGGTTAATTTATGGTTTACTTTAAAAGAGCTGTGGTGATCTTTTGTTTAATGACTACAGTAAACTGGCATCCCTGCTTTAACATGTGATATTCATTAAAGATTGACGAGCTGGAAGAGCAGTGCAGCGAGATAAACAGAGAGAAGGAGAAGAATACCCAGTTGAAGAGAAGAATTGAGGAGCTGGAGTTGGAACTCCGAGAAAAGGAGACGGTGGGTCGTGGGGCTCCGAGCGGTGCTGCTTGGCGTCCCCTGGGCCTTGGCGGGTGATCTCCACCCAAGGACACGGCAGGCAGCTGTGGGGCATGTGACCAGCCCTGGCAGCTGCCCGGATCTCAGCACAGAGACAGAGCCAAAAGCTACACCAGGGCACAGATAGTCCAGAGCAAAGGCCTGACCATTACCCTCTGCAGCCTCCTTGTTGTACTTATTCTATAATCAGTCACTCAGGTCCAAGAGGGAGCTGAACATTTGCTAAAGCACTCGGAAGCTTTCATAGGTGGTCTTTTATCAGAAGTTGTGTTCTGCCGTCAACTTAATGCAGCGAGAACCCCCTGTCACACAGTCATTTATTTTCTGGGGGACAGGACAGCTAAGTACAGCAAGCCCCCTACCCACGAACGAGTTCCACTCCAAGAGTGCACTTGCCTAAGTCCAGTTTGTTTGTAAGTCCAACAGAGTTAGCCTAGGTATGCAACTAACACAATCGGCTGTATCCTACTGTACTGTAATAAGTTTATCATACTTTTCACACAAATAATACATAAAAAACAGACATAAAAACCAAAGGAAACATTTTTAACCTTGCAGTACAGTACTTTGAAAAGTGTAGTAGTACCAGCTACATCACTGCTGCTTCTACGCTTGCTTCCGGACATCCTGGGCATGAAATAAAGATACTGTAGGACTGTACTCTATACAGTACTGGACAGTAAAGTACACAAACGCACCACCACTTGTAGAGGATGCTCGCACGTGACGATGTACGCCAGACACGTGAACTGACTTACATGACTGGACATGTGAACGCACATTTGCATCTTTGAAAGTTCGCAGCTTGAAGGTTCATATGTAGGGGACTTACTGTATACAGAGGGTGGAGACCATGGGCAAGTTACCAATCCTCTCTCAGCCTCGGTTTCCCCATCTACGAAACAGGAATCATACTTCTCTTTTCATGGTGGTGTTCAGCCTTCATGCATTAATTCATGGAACATACTCAGCCTTTAGAATTACCTCATGTGTTAAGTATAACATCATCGCCATTATTATTTACGCAGACAACACAGGTTCCGAAAGCTGCTTCCATTATTGTATGCACGAGTTGGGGATTTTCAAGAATACATTTTATCTGACTTGCTTTCACATTCTTTTTCCAATTTCTGTCTCCTGTAGGAGTTGACAGACCTCCGAAAACAAAGTGAAATCATACCTCAGCTCATGTCAGAGTGTGAATACGTCTCTGAGAAGTTAGAGGTAAGGGCGGGGAGCACGTCCACCTGGGCTCAGATGAGAAGGCATCCACTGTGTTACCCATTTCTCCGAGGCCTCTCCCTTTCACGCCTGGCTTGGTAAAGAAGAGAGACTTTGTATTCCTAGAAAGCCAGCGTAACTACACGGCAGATGCCAGCTTTCCTCCCGGGTGCAGACTCAGCAGTGTTTGTCTTCTGTTTTTTCCACTTATACGAAGGTGTCCTGTGCATAACCATAGTGTAGGTGACTGTTTCCTGCCCACAGAAGTCCCTACAGAACCACAGAAGGGTGCGAAGCAGGGGACGGAAAGGAGGGCTGAGAGCCTAAGACCCAGGGGCTATTGCACCTCCCCAGCCGGTGACCTTGGACAGGCCCCCCCCCCCCCCCCGCCTCCCCACCCTGCTGGCTTCAGATTTCTGATCCACCTGCTGCATTTCTGAAGGAGCATTTTCAGGTCCTCCTTCACCTCTGAGGTTCTCCTCACTTCGAGAGCTCTTTGTTCAGTTATACAACCTTGGTATTAGTAACTGGTTCTTGTACACCCATTCAAAAATTCTCATTTTGTGCCCGTAAGATGAAAGCTCTTATTTGGACTCACAGCGGTCCCGCCATTGGGAGCTTCAACGTCTCCATGGCAACACCACGGGACGGACAGAGCACAGACCTACTGTCCCTGCGTCTGGCATGGCCAGTCCTCCCTCGCTGACGGCCAGAGGCTGGCCTGGGGCCAAGGAGGCCTCGCCTTCTCAGTGGAACCGGGAGAAACAAGTCACTCTTCCATTTGTGCTATTTCTCACTCTCTCCCAGAATGGAACCCAAAGGGGGCCTCTGCTGACCACCCTGGGCTTGGGGCTGAAAACCCCATGTGCTGGGATTTCAGGCTTCCTCTGCTGGGCACTTTGTGAAAGCATCACTTAGCACCAGGCTCCCTTGGGCAGGATGCTGAGTTCTGTGTTCTCTGTGGGGGCATCGTATTAAGGCGAGATGCTGGCCGTTGGTACCTCTGCCAGAGAACAGCAGGAAGGAGGGGCACACACCTGATGCCAGGGGGGTGGGGGCAGGACATGTAACACCTCCAGGGAGGCAGGCCCGCCCGAGGGGGACGGACAGTCTGGCTGTCTCAGGTCTCAGCGGGGCTCCTCCCGCTCTGTCCCCAGACCCTTCTTTCTCTCTCGCTTTGCTTCAGGCGGCAGAGAGAGACAATCAGAACCTGGAAGACAAAGTGCGCTCCCTGAAGACGGACATGGAGGAGAGCAAGTACCGCCAGCGCCACCTGAAGGTGGAGCTGAAGAGCTTCTTGGAGGTGCTGGACGGGAAGATCGATGACCTGCACAACTTCCGCCGGGGCCTCTCCAAGCTGGGCGCCGACAACTAGGGCTGCGCGTGAGTCCCCAGGGTGTGTGTGACACAGAGTAGCACTAGGACGTCCTCCCGTTCGCGTGGCTTCTGTAAATGCAGGCGCGGTTTGTCATGTTTCCAAACCAGGGGTGCCGTCCACTCTCTCCTCTCCAGAATAGAAACCTCCCCTTGCTTCTCTGGCCTTGCGAGGTCATGGACAACTGGACGATTCTGACTCAGGAATCCAGAACTAGGTCTACCTTAAACATTTACGCAGTCAGAGCAGGGATGTTTATAACTTTCTTAAGGGCTGTTGCAACCATATGAACTGGAAAAGTATTTTCTAATTCAAGTATGAATACCCTTTCCAACTCCTTTTTTTTTGAGTAGCGTTCAGAGTATTCGAATGTTCACCAGGCACCAATGCGTGGGGCGTGGTGATAGCAGTTTTCCTCTCAGTATATACAGAGATGCTTTAAAGCAACCACTTAGTAGAGACTTGTCCCAAGAGAGAAAACACACTTCTGGTGGAGGCGTTTTCTGGCAGGGAAATCGCCTGCATCCACTCCGCCCACTTCCACCCGCCCCCAGTTTGTAGGGTTGCGACAATGTTCCTTTTCTTGGTTTTAATTCCTGAGCAGGTTACTGTGCTGTGGGGACAGCATGCAGCGAGGGTGCCTAGCACAGTGCCTGGCACAAAGTAGGTGCTTAATAAATATTTGTTCATTTAAACGTACAAACAGAATTTAGTGTTTTCATAACATCCCCCATCAAGCCCCTGCTGGACAGTCCACCGCCCTGGTGCACTGGGTCGTTATCAGGCATGTATGTGACCTTGTGGACAGACTCGTGGGTTGGCTCAGGTGGCCCTGGGGCCAGGAGGGTGGCGGTGGAAGCAGCAGGAGCTGGTCTGAGGCCCCACCCTCCCAGCAGCCCATCCATGGTGCTCTGCCCCTGGGGGCCTCTGACACTGAGATCACTCTTCCTTTCCAGGAGTGAGGCCTGTGGCCTAGGGATTCTAGGACCACTGACTGTCCCTGGTATAGGGGCTGCCCAGGGCTTGGGATCTAGGGTGGGATCCTCTGTTGGGTTTAGACAATTGAAAAAGAAATCACACAGGCCCATGAGGGAAGGAGTGGGCTCAAAGTGGCTGAGCCTTGGCCTTAGAGGAGTTCTGCCCAGGTCTGCCTCCCCCTGTTCCTGCTAAGGAAGGGACCAGAGCCATGGACCTCTTCTCTCTTACTGAGTTTCTCAGTGGGGCCAGTGGACATTTCATTTGCCCCATGCATGGCAAGATGGTCTGAATCCCTGGCCGTCGGCATTTCTAAATCCCTTTGAAGGAGGGGGAGGCTTTGCTGCCCCCTTACCTGCTTTGAGAACCACTAAGAGAACTTCCCCCTCTAGAAGGATTTTCTCACACATCAGAATTGCTCCCTGCTGGGTTGTTCAGATAAACAATAAAATAGCCTGAGGAGGTGGGTAGGGTACACACGGATGTGACCCGGGCCCCAGGGTGACTTTACAAGTCCTGCTGCTCTCTTTCGTGTAGCTGAGACCATCTCCCTGAGCAGGGAGGTCTTATTTAGGATGGGGAAAGCACCAGGACGTGTAGGGGAGACCCGCAGGCTGAGTGGGGCAGCTGTGGTGGAGTTCACTGGGCTGGTGGCAGATGGAAATGGAAAGCGTGGTCAGCCCTCCTGCTGATTTGTGACTGGGCGCTGCTGGCCCTGCCCTTTCCCTGGAGCTCCAGATGGCTCTCAGGATAGTGGTAGCAGCTCTACTGACCTGGAGATCAGAGAGCTGGGCTGGCCGTGAGTTGGCTTTGTGGCCCAGCAGTGGGCTAAAGAGGATTCTTCTCAGGCTAGGCCAGTCCACCTGCCCAGGAGCAGCAGACACTGGGATTCTGAAACCTCAGCTTGGGTCTTCTGATGCCCACCACCCCTGTCTATGTGGCAGCTTATTCCTCCAGAAGGAGCTGTCTTGACTGACTGGAACATGCTCAGGTGACGTATTCATCGGAGGGTAGAGTTGCCAAAGCCACTTGCACATTCCGGGCAGTGACTGGAGAAACTAGTGGCAGCAGTAGAGCCATTACCACGGTGGGCTGCTGTGTCCCTGTGCAGTTGAGACCCATGACCCCCGCTCACCAACCGTGGAAGACTTTGGTGAGCCCTTGTAGGCAGTAGGTGAGGAGCTGAGAGCCCCACACTATGTGGCCCCAGCCAGCTTTACACCATGCAGCCCAGGAGCTAAGAGCAGTAGGGGCTCCTCTAAAGGAGAAGCTAAGTTGGGCTCAGCAGGGAAAGCACACCTTTACAAAAGCCCTGGACTTTCAGTTCCTTCTGCTTTTCTCTAAAGGTCTTAAGGTTTCTTCATTTACTTTCTTTAAAAAAAAAAAAAAAAGGCCTGGGGACAACCTAAACAGTCTGTCGAGAGGCTAGCCCTGTCTAACAGCCTCGGGATATAAGGAGAATGACCCGCTGAATTCATCCCAGTTTCCCTTGAGCCAAGCCCTCATTTTTTAGGACGTCCAGCTCCAGTCTCAGCACTGATGCCCTTTGGTTGGCGTGATCTGAAGCCAAGTGCAGGCAGGGCATAACCCTTGCCTCACAAACACCCCAGCCCCGTCGTGCTGCTGGAGGATTTAAGAGCTAGGACTGCGTCTTTGTTTCCAAGTGATGTCTCCTGATTTGACATCTCCAAGACTGGCTGCCTGAACCTCAATTAGCTTTTTTTTTTTTTTCCTCTGCATCTGTGAAACCTGGGGCCTAAAAAAAGCAACGGAAAATTTGGAATCCTTTAACCATAATGATCCTTAAAAATAATTTTCATTCCAAGTAAAGACCCACTGGATGCGTGATACAGTTGAGAGCGGCAAGGGGAGATAAAGTCTTCCTAGTGCCTCGGGAATAGAAAACCACCTGAGTGACAGGCTGGGACAGTGTGGTCAGGCCTTGAAAGAGAGCCAGCGTCCACATGAGACCCAGAGCTTGTACACTCCCTCCCTTCCACGCTCCCCTGCATGCCGTCACTTTAGACCTCAGCTGGGTGAGAGAACGGGGCAGAGATCATTCCCCATTTTGCAGAGGGAGCAGAGACAGGTGACTCACCCTGAGTCACCCAGCAAGTGAGCAGCAGTGCGGGCTGTATCTGGGTCTCCTGAACCCTGGTCCAGTGTCTTTCTACGAGTCATGCTCTCTTCTCCCTTTAGTGACCTTTGGGTGCCAAGAAAAAAAAAACTCTCTTGTGTCCTGATAAGAGCACATTGCAGTTATACTGTTTTAACATATGTCCACAGCAAATGACAACTTATAAATGAATGAATCAGAATTACATTTACATTCATTACAGCAGTAAGTTCCACTTTTGAATGATTCTGCTTTTGTAGGGATCTTTCCAAGAGATTGTTGGTTAAAATGATGTTGGTGCTTTGAGAGGCCAGAGCGATGAGACACATTTTGAGTTCTTCGTTGATGGCTTTCATGGAGGCAAAGCAGTTTGTTCAAAACAAGCAGGAGGCCCCAAAATGGCAGAGCAGTAAACAGAGTGATGGCGGGGCAGGTGGGGTGTGGGGGGATTGCCCATCACTGCCCAGCCCCTTCCCAGACAGGAGCCAGCACTGGGGAGGGAGCAGACCAGCCAGTGGTTAGAGCAGGTTGAGTGGCACCTGACGGGCCCCAGGAGGAATGTCCACAGTGGGTAGTTGGTCTCCATCCTGCAGTCTCATCATGGACGTCTCTAGACTTGGGCGGCCCACGGGCACAGCCTGGACGGTGGTTGGCTAACGCCTGGCCAGTATTTACTACATTTGACATAAAACATCAAATAAAGGGTGTGGGATATAGTGCTACTCAGAGGCGTCACGATCGGCCTGTTGTAAAAGGACTCCTTTTCTATAGGCAAGACTGCTTTTCAATAGAAATCGGGGGCAACTTTGGGTGAGAGCCAAAGCCAACCACAGGGAGTGCCAGGGACATCAGGTGTGGCCAGGTGTGCCCTTAGAAGGCAGGCAGCCGGGATGGGACTTAGCAGAGGCGCTTGACAGAGGTTGCCCTTTAAGACAGAGCCGGCCGCTGCATTCTGCTCATTGCTGAAAGTGGCTCTTTGTGTCATGTGTCCATCTAAAAGCTATGGGTTCTTTCATTCACTCGAAAGATCACTGGTGATTTAAACTAGAAGCCTGCAAATCAACATCCATATATATTCTTAAATGACATGCATGGTTTAAAAGAATTCCAATTTCTGCATACATAGTTTCCCCCAAATAAATATATATTCTTGGGATGGTGGGGGTGACGGCATGGAGAGAGAATCCTGTATAGAAATGTGTGTTGTTTTACGTGTCTTTTTCATACACCTGTCTCAAGAATATGGGTTTTTCCAGTTCCTCTTTAAACACCAGCCAGGAAGAAGGTGATTATGGTAAGAATTTGGCAGCCAGATGATATGGTCTAGTGAACTTTTGGAGTGTGTGTGTGTATGTGAGTGTGTGTGTGTGTGTGTGTGTGTGTGTGTGTGTTGGGGGAGGAAGCAGCAGGGGGAAGCAGGAGAAATGACAAGGAAGGGTTTTCAATTGAAAAATATATGTATAGCTAAGAGGAGTCTTTAATAATCCTGGTGGTGATGTTATATGTTCTGGAATCCGTCTTTGAGAAGAGCTTGTGGGTCTTTTGTTTTGAGCGGAATTGTACAGTGCCCTACTCTCTTTGACGAATGCAGAGCCTTGTGAAGAGTGCCCCCACCCCCAGGCCACACAGACCCCGGGTGCACCTGCCAGGAGCCCAGAGAAACCACGGTGGAGTCCAGACTGTGGGACATTTTGGCGGATGACTGACAGGTCCAATGATATGCAGCTGTGGGGAATGTGTCACTGTTCTTACCCTATGGACCACTTTTAATATAAAATCCTGACTTTAAATAAATTGTTGTAGCAATGTCTTATGGTGTGACAGACAATTAGGCACTTCTTGCATCAAATGTAAGAATTTAACGATTAGCATGAGGTGGATAAATGGACTCTCCCAAGAATACTGTTTTTTTGTTTCTTTTCCCTTTTCAAATGCCTTTTTGGTACATAAATAATATATACTTTTCTAAGAAGAAATGAAAAAAATCACCTGTTATTACACCATCTGATTATAACCACTGTTAACATTTTGGTATATATCTTTTCAGACTTCTTTTCTATGCATCTATAGCTGTTTTATTACTTTTTTCCTGAGATACAATCATATTATACATTATTATACATATACTGTTTTATAACTTGCTTTTTTCCCTTTTAACACTATATTGTAAATATATTTCTATGTCAGTAAATATGTAACAGCATCATTTTTAACATCTATGTAGGTTGTACCTTGGGTACTTGTTTCCAGTTTTATACTGTTGTACTCAAGGGTATGAGGGAAATCCTTTCTTCTAACACCTTCATGAGCTTTTCAGAATATTTACTTAGGATAACTTGCTAAAATTGGACTTGCTGGCTCAAAAGTGTAATGGGTGCTACAAGCACTGCTCCGTCTCCTCCTCTCCCTCCTGGGCACACAGGAGATGCCACTTACCAGCCCCTATAGTCACTCAGGGTCCTGGTGCTAATGCTGGCCAATAAAGTGTGAGCAGAAGTGACATGTGCAACGTCCAGGCTGAGACTGTGAGATGCCCCCATGCAGGTCTCCAGTCTTTCTGTTGCCTTGCCCCACAGGTGGTGATGTCCCAGGGCTGGAGCCTATGTCAGCTGGAGCCTTTGTCAGCCTGGGTCCCTGAGTGACTGTGTGGAGAGCTCCCCTTCTCCTGTCATGACACCCCCCTCCCCACTTGTGTGGATTTGTACTATGAAGAAAGAATAAACTTTAAGTGTTACACTATTGGCATGTCAGGGTTATTTTGTTACTGCAGCATAACACATCCTGACTAACAAAAAGGTACGCACATGTTGGGGACTTTTAATATATCTTGCCTCAAATTGCCTTCCAGAAAGATGATACCAAATTATGCTCTCACCAGCAATGTGTGAGAATGTCCGATTCCCCTCTTTCACACTGGTGTTTCCATGGGGACTGGGGGGGCTAGTTTTGATATGCATTTTTTTGATGACAGTGTGACCCTCCTAACCAACATATTTATTAGACTATATTCTTTTGTCATTTACCTATTCATCTTCTCTGGCCAATTTTCTTACAAGGTGTTTGTGTGTCTCATTGATTTCTAAGAAGTTTTTTTTTCCCTATAAATATTATTTTTTAAAAGTTGCATGTATTTGGGGCTTCCCTGGTGGCGCAGTGGTTAAGAATCCGCCTGCCAATGCAGGGGACACAGGTTCGAGCCCTGGTCTGGGAAGATCCCACATGCTGCGGAGCAGCTAAGCCTGTGCGCCACAACTACTGAGCCTGTGTGCCACAACTACTGAAGCCCGCACACCTAGAGCCCGTGCTCCACAACAAGAGAAGCCACCACAATGAGAAGCCTACACACCACAAGGAAGAGTAACCCCTGCTCACCGCAACTAGAGAAAGCCTGCACACAGCAACGAAGACCCAACACAGCCAGAAATAAATAAATTAAATAAATAAATTTATTTTTAAAAAAGCTCAATATATGGCATAGATTGAAAAAAATTTTTTTAGTCAAATCTATCTTTTCCTTTATGGTTGCTGCCTTTGCTGTCATGCTTTTGAAGATCTTTGCAATTCTGATTCCAAGGTTTTATGAATTTTCACCAGTATTTTATTCTTGTACTTTTATTGTTTTGTTTAAGCAATTAAATCTATGATCCATGTGGAATTTATTTTTTAAATTACCCCAACATCACTGATACAAAATCCCATTTTCACTATATATCCAATCCTTATATTTCTTTTTTTTTTTTTTTTTTTTTTTTTGCAGTACGCGGGCCTCTAACTGTTGTGGCCTCTCCCGTTGCGGAGCACAGGCTCCGGACACGCAGGCTCAGCGGCCATGGCTCACAGGCCCAGCCGCTCCACGGCATGTGGGATCTTCCCAGACCAGGGCACGAACCCGTGTCCCCTGCATCGGCAGGCAGACTCTCAACCACTGCGCCACCAGGGAAACCCCTCTTTTTTTTTTTTGAAAGCATCTTCTTTTCTTTCTTTTTTTTTTAACATTATTTATTTTATTTATTTTTGGCTGCATTGCTGCACGCAGGCTTTCTCTAGTTGCGGCGAGCAGGGGCTACTCTTCCTTGCGGTGCACGGGCTTCTCATTGCAGTGGCTTCTCTTGTTGTGGAGCACGGGCTCTAGGCGCACGGGCTTCAGTAGTTGTGGCTCGCGGGCTCTAGAGCACAAGCTCAGTAGTTGTGGCGCACGGGCTTAGTTGCTCTGTGGCATGTGGGATCTTCCCAGGCCAGGGCTTGAACCCGTGTCCCCTGCATTGGCAGGAGGATTCTTAACCACTGCGCCACCAGGGAAGCCCTCAATCCTTATATTTCTTTAAGCGTACTTCTGAACTTTCTATTGTGTACATTCTGGCACTGGTACCACATAGTTTGATCATCTCAGATTTAGACTAAATGTCGCCATTAATTAAACGTCTTCAAAAATGTCCTAGTACTTTTTGTATATTGACAGTTCCAAAAGAAATTCTGGATCATTTTGTAGCATTTAGAAGAATTGGAAATTGGATTGTGTAAAATTTATAGGTAACTATAGAGACAATTAACATCTTCATAATATTTAACCTTTCATTTCAGTAAATTTATAAAGTATTATGTTCCTCAGTATAT